GAACACCAATACCCCCAAAATGGTAAAAATATACAAGTGGATAAAAATTATATCCAACCAGGGTTATGAGAGATAGCTCAGTGCATAAGAGCATTTGCTAGTTGTATGAGCATAGGAACCTGAGTTCAAATCTCCAGCACCCATATAAAAAGCTGTGCAAGATCATACATGTGCAGCTGGAATCCCAGACTTTGAGAGCTGGAGACAAGAGGAGTGCCGCTAGTATGCTAACCTAGTTTCAGCTTCAGTTAAACAATACCCCAAAGGAATAAGCTACAGGATGATAGAGCAGGATACCCAAAATTCTCCTCTGGTCTATACATGTGCACAGGTACACACAGCCTAACACCAGGTGTACAAACACAAGGTGTGTGCATGCACACACACACAAGACAGCTAGATGATGTTTTAATTAATTTTTAAAAGGGGAATATGTAGCATTCTAATACTTAAAAACATAGCTTAGCTGGAATAGCTGGCAATGTTTGTATCAATGTAAACTTCACAGCAAAACTACTTAGCATAAGGAAAAAAACAGGGCCACCCCATGACAACAATCGATAAGACACAAAGTTCTAATATAGATGGGGCAAGTTCAGCATCCAATGACATGGAGCAAAATAGAACTTCCCCCCAAAAAAGACAAATTCATGGGTGCCAGGTGAGATGTCAATTCTCTTTACTTGGCAAGTGACAGAACAGGTAGAGAGAGAAGCAGGAAAAATAGTGTCAACCTACATTTTTCTTCCAAACACAGAGCATGATCTAAGAATATACCATCAGAGTATATTCTATATAATAAAAACTAACAAAAAGATTAAATCAAAATGATTCAAGCCATTCCAACTATGTTCTCTTAACAAAAAATAACAAGCAAATGAGAGACTAAAACCAAAAATGCTCCTAGAAAATATTCAAGTACCTGAAAATTAAATAACAGAATAGTTCTGTGACAAGGGGGTATTGAAAACATAACCCAAAGTCAAGTGTTGAAAAAATAAAATATAGGAAACCAGAGTTTGTGGAATGTAACTGTGGCAGTACTGAACTGAAAATATTAGCACTGGATGTTTCCACTAGGTTCACAAGACAATGACTTTGCTCCCATTTTAAGAAACAAAAGAAGGACTGAGAGATGATTCTGCGGTTAAGAACATTTATTGCTTTTATAGAGGACCCAAATTCAGTTCCCAGCACCCACATGATAGCAAACACTACCTGTATCTGATTCCCTCTTCAGATTCACACACACACACACACCACACAAACACACACTCTTAGTAAAAATAAAATATTTGTAAAAGAAAATATAGAAGGTAATATATAATACAAACTCAGTAAAAGAAAGGAACCAATGAACAAAACCTGTCATTGTAGTGAATCTCGTCAAAATTTGCATTATGCAGTGTAACCACAGCACTGGTGGTATTGTCAGATGGGGCTGTGAGGAGCTGGTTATTTGGTGTGGGCAGAGCCACCATGAAGAGCTTTAGCATTCTTCATCAAAGTGACTCTAGTGAGCTGCTTCATTCTTCCAGCCCAGGGAAGATGAAAGAAAAAGGCAAAACCTACTCAGGAGGAACTAATTATACCCTCAGTTAGGTCCACCAGTGACTGGTATTAGATTTCTCAGCACCCAGAGTCCTGGGTAATTAATTTATACATTATGTTGGCTGCCTAGTCTGAAGCCTGTTGTTTAACATGTAATCTACATGCTAAACCACACAACATGCTAAATCACAACAACACAGTGAGCTACCCGCAATCACTCACTGAAGCTCATTGGGCTTGGTGTCAGCTCCTGATGAGACTAGCTCTCACTCTTCTTTGATATAAAGCCAATCAGTGATATTGAAAATACTCTAATACAACCTTGTCCTATCGGGCAGCTCTAAGCATTGTGTACTCATCTCTATCACACACACACACACACACACACACACACACACACATGTGCAGCACTCTTACCTTTGCTCTACTTCATGAGCTGTTATATGAGTGACAAGATCTTGCCAAAATTGATCATCTCACAGTCCTCTGAGATTCTTTCATGTGGGACAAATTTATTAGGAATAAACTTATTAATAACTTCTTTGACCTACAAAATGAGTAGTAGCAATTTCAGATGTCTGTAGGTTATTTATACCAAACACTAAAGATGTGGGAAGTATCCAATTTTTTATGTTACCAAACAGATATTCTGGGTGTAGTTAAGCACACTTTTAATCTCAAGATGGAGAAGCTGGTGAATATCTATGAGTTCCAAGATAGTATGGTCTAAGTAGTGAGTTTCAGGCCAATCAAGGATACACAGTGAGACCTTGCCTCAACAACAACAAAAAACGTAGATATATATTTCATAGAAAAGATAGCTTTACATTGGTTACTCTTTCTTTTTTCTCCTCTTCCTTTTGTATTTAAGTTAGAAACAACTTTTTCACATGTCAGTCCCACCTCACTCTCCCTCTCCTCCTCCCCTGCCCTCCTCCTCAGCCACCCCAGGGTTACTTTTCCTTAATAATCTTTTTCAAAATGTCTACATATGACTAAAAATATAGTTTTTTAATTTTACTCTCATAATATATTTTTAAATTAATGATGTATTGGCTTGTGTTTTACACTGTATTTTAATTAGGCTATTTTAAATTAATTTTTCCATACCTTATTCATTGCTTTGGAAGTTTTCATCACAGACCTACAAGAACATAAAATCTTTTCAGAAAAATATCAAATGTATTAAACACAAATTCCAATTTTCCTTCTTTCCATAATACGTTATGACTATTTGAACTACAATGACTACATATGCAAGAATAGGATTGTAAACAGGACAAGAACTAGGAATCAGAAATGTATTATCACTACCACCATCATAAAACGAAAAGTTTTAGTTCATCATCCTACCAGTTAAGGCAAAAATGCGTTATTTTATAGAAATAAATACACGAAGATTTCTACTGTAATTTTCAGCAAAAATATTTTTCGTCAATAAAACTCATTTTAAAATAGTATTTTCTTCTTTATACATGGTGAACACTTAGTGACAGAACATAAGGCAGTTTTTCCTTGGGAACTATGACTCATGTGGTACTCACTATTCTAAGGACTGGGCTTGTGTTTCACTTACCTTAGGTTTCACAGCCTACTAGCTACTGTGTAAAGGTAGAATATAGGCAGAGACTGGCTGTGTTGCCACAGTCCCAGCAGCTGGCTGAATGAAAGATTTAGAATTCAAGTCCAGAATTTCCATATTATATGGCAGAAAGTAATAATCTTCAGATGACTTTAAGAGACATAATAAAAGATTAATCCATATTATCATCCTATTTTATTATAATTACAGATAACACCATAGGATTGTAAATAATTTGGGGAGTTCCCCCATCCAAGTATTAACCACAGGTAGCCATGCTTATCTTCTGAGAGCAGATGAAATCCGGCTCATTTAGTGTCATATGGACATAGAATAAGGGTTTTTTTGTCTAAGAAACTGTCTGTGTGGTCAAAATTCCCAATTCTCCTGCCTCAGGAACCACCATGCCCACCTAGAATTTTTTTCAAAAGCTACAGGATGGAGCTGATGACGGCTCAACTGGTAAAGTCTTCCCTTTACAAACCTGAGGACCTGGGTTCAACCCTCCAAAGGACAAATTAGAAAGCGAGGTATGGGGTGGGTGAGATAGTTCAGTGCTAAAATCTCCCACCGCCAATCCTGAAGATGTGAGTACAATACTCAGGATGTACACAGTGGCATGAGAAAAGTGACTTCTGCAAATTGTCCTCTGATGTACACATGCATACTGCACACACACATGCACGCAAATAAGTTTTAAAGCAATAATTTTCTTTAAACTTGCCTTTGGTCATGTGCACTTGTAATCAGTAATCAGTCCTGTGGAGACAGAAACGGCAAAAACCCTGGAGCTTCCTGGTGAAATCCGTGCCAATGAGAGGCAGTGTCTCAATATGGTGGACTGGCAGGTGACTGTTCTTTGGTCTCAACATTCATGAATAGATACATAAACAAACATAAGACTACTTTAACTTAGGCAATTTTGGACACCTGCTTACTAAACTAAGTTGTCACTTAATAAATTTAGTTGTTTCATCTGATTAAATTATAGATACTCATGATGATACTATGGAATCCCTTAATGAATAGTTAAATTCCATTCTGCATAGACAATGTACATATTTTCTTACACATAATTTTTGCAATGAATAGGGATATGATTTTTATTTTTGCATCAAGCTACTACTTTTTTCAAAATTTGGCAGTGGGCAATATGAATTTTTAATGTTTAAAAATCTATGTGTGATAGTTCATTTTTGAACTTACAGCTTCTATATTGAATTAGATGAAAATATTCCAACCCAACAATAACCTCTTACCACAGAAATACAAGTATGAATACAAGTTCCATGGACCTTGTCTAGTGTAAATCTCCCAAGGCAATGTATTAAGATTTCTAATGTTTAGACATCAAAACATAACAAATTGAATAAACATGCTCTTCTCTGCTAGATCAGTCTGACACCATGCAACCATATTCTAAATCTTTCATGTTAAAACTTTAAAATACATTAGTCTATGAATATGACAACTTCAGTATCTTGATGACTGTTTAGAGAACGTACAAAATTTATGATTTCACCATGAATAGCCACACCCTCAGCATACACACATATGAAACATTGTTATAAGTGTGTTTATTATGTATATTATATACCCTTGATATGTACATATAACATATAGTCACCTGTAGTATAAAACAAATAAATGTCTTTAACATCATGTATACATATGTCTTCACAAGGAATATTTTTCCATCTCAGAATGATCTTCCTGAGTAAACAATTAGGTTTAAAAGAGTAAAATATTTGAAATTCTGATACATGCCACACATAATAAATTAACCTTGAAAATCTGTTCACTGATTTCAATGACAGTGCTTGCAAATGCTTTATTCTCAAATTTGCCAACACTGGTTGCCATTTTAATAAAATATGTTAGCAGAATGGGAAATAATAGCATCTGGTTGTTGATTAACATCTTATGATCATGCAAGACAGAGTGTCCCAGGTGTAAGAAGTATAGGACATGTTCATCAGGCACACAAGCTTCAGTGGAGAATAGGGTCTGCTGTTAAATAATCACTGTAGCCTTACCCATGCTCTACTTGGTTCTCCACTTGGTCTTTAGCCTTTTCATCAAGTGCTTGAAGAACTGAAGTTGCAGCACCAAGGTTCAGGTTTTCTGTCGAATCCACCTCATTGACATTGTGCTTCTCAGTTTTTTCTGTGACCTTTGATAACAGTTTGATATGAAGAATAACTAATTTTAATTTTTAAAAAATCTTTTATGTGTATGAGTGTCTTGTCTGCATGTATGCCTGTGCAGTATGTACAGGTCCCATGCTCAAGAAGCCAGAAGGGGGCATCTAATCCCAAGGGAATGGAGTGACAGATAGTTGCCAACCACCATGTGGGTGCTGGGGTCCTCTGAAAGAGTAGCCAGCCCAGTGCTCTTAACTGCTGAGCCATCTCTCCAGCCCAATAACTGATGTTCTTTAATATAAAAACTTTTTCATTAATTTCACCACTTGACTCATTAATTTCCACAATTTTCTTTCATAAAAACTACCTTGTGGTGTGAGGGAGGCTCTCGATGCTTAAGAGACTTTCATGTTCTTCCAAAGGGAACAACTTTGGTTCCCAGCCCTCAGGGCCAGCTGCTCACAACTGCCTGTAACTCAAGCTCTGTCTTCTGGCCACCTTAGCCACATACAGATGTGGAAGAGAGACATACACACAAATAAAAATAACTATATAAAATAGAAAGCACAACTTTATATTGAGTTTAACTGCATCATTACATGGCATCAATACTTATATAATTTGCCTTGTTTCTGTTTGATCAAAAAGGAAGAGACCATTGCTAAATGGTCATGTTATCAAACAGCCTTCAAAATATTAGTGTTTATACCCATATATCTGTGCTACTCTCAAGCCCGGTTAGTGTTGGAACAGAGTCAAGAAACGGAGTTGTGCGAGAATGCTGAGGCTCATAAGAAAACAGGACAAGAGCCTTGTGACCTCATTTTCATCAAAACACAGAAATGTTCTGGGAATGTGTTTCCATGCTCCCCCTAGTGGTAGCAGATAGGAGTGAGTTTACTTCATGTGTTGTTATTCATTAGCCTCTATGGAAAAACGTATTTTTGTCACGTGTGACTTGTCCTTGTGATTGAACACCTTACTCATGTGATTTTTCTTAGGCCTCGGAGTATAAATTGCCTGATTCTCTGAGTAAAGTGGATTATTGCACAAGACTGTAGTCTGCCTCATTTTTAGGCCCAGCTCTCCCAGGTTCATGCTGCCAGCTAGAGCAGCAACAAGTGAGAGAAGCTTCTTTATGCATGAACATCAATTAGTGCAGAAACTTAGACTTGCTCAAAGTGCCAAGAATAGAACACTGTGCATGCTCAAACCTAAGTGGGGCATCTATAACATGTCCCAAGCACAGAGAACACTGAAGACAATCTGAATTGGGAAACATAAGAGCCAGAGAACAGGGAGGAATGTTTTATTCTGGACTTAAGATAGTTGTTATAGTCATGAACCTGAAGCAGCTATGGTTACCGGCATATGACTTGTAGAAAATAAAAATAGTCAAAATTACAGAACTACAGGAGAGTGGCTCATGAGGCCCCACCCTTAGCTAAGGAGCAATTGATGGTTGATGACTGCTGGGGGAGATTATTTTTTTCCTTTGGGAGTGTAGACAATGGTAGGTTGACCACACTACCGAAGAGATGGCCTCATAGCTATAAATATATGAACAGCATTAATTATACTCAGTGGGATAACTAAAAATGGAGGAAACAGAGGGGAAAGAGGAGGAGAAAGATGTTGTTGAATATTTGTTTACCTGTGCAAAGATGTGTTGCATTTGTTAAACTACATAAAGATGTGTTGCTGTTTTACCTTGCCTGCCTAAGGCACCTGATTGGTCTAATAAAAAACTGAATGGCCAATATCAGAGGAGGAGGTATAGGTGGGATTTCCAGGTAGAGACAGTAAGTAGAAGAAGGAATTTAAGCTCTGGGGAGGAAAGAAAAAGAGATGCCAGGGAGACACCGAGGTCCAGACAGACATGGAGGAAACAGGAAAGTAGGACACATAGGATGAAAGAAATGTAAGAAAACAACCCAAGGCAAATGTAGAGGAATAGAAACAAGTTAAATTAAGAGAGCTAGTGGGAATCCGGGCTTTGGTGGTGTACACCTTTAATCCCAGCACTCCAGAGGCAGAGGCAGGTGAATCTCTGTGAGTTCGAGACCAGCGTGGTCTACAGAGTGAGTTCCAGGACAGCCTCTAAAACAATACAGAGAAACCCAGTCTCTAAAAACCAAAGAGAGAGAGAGAGAGAGAGAGAGAGAGAGAGAGAGAGAGAGAGAGAGAGGGACAGGCCTACGCTAATGCTGAGCATTCGTAATTAACAATAAATCTCCATGTATTTATTTGGGAGCTGGTTGGTGACCCAAAGAAAATTCCAAGTACGGGAGGAGTAGAAGAAATAGGAGAGGAGGAAACATGAATTTGGGAGGAGAACATGTTGAGGGGGGCTCTAGGGAATCTTGGAAGGGGAAAATGAAAGTATATGCTCAAAATAAATTACACATATATTTGAGATTTTTAAATTTTAAATAACATTATTTTTAAAAATCATGATAGAGTTTTATCAAGAATTCAAACAAATATCCAAGTAACAATATCCTGATTAGCATTATTAATAGAAGTCACAAAGTGCTTGTTAGAGTGTAGCTCAGTGTTACAGTTTTTGCCTGGTATTCCCAAGGTACTATGTTCTATCCCCAGCACTGGGAAAAATATGTGTGTGTATATATCTTGGACTGGCAAGATAGGTCCATGGAGTCCAGTTCCTAGAACATACATGGTGGGAGAAGGGATCCAAATCCTACAAGTTGTTCTCTGATTTCTGTAATCACCATGGCAGCCACATGACAACACACAACAAATGAGTTGGTTAATTAAATCTAATTTTTAAATGATAATAGTAATTCCTCATGAGTTCATGGAAGAACAGGCATAGAAAATGCAATGAATATGACTTGACTGAAGGAAATTTCACTCTTGTCACTGACATCAATGTCAAGAGTGTTTGTTGAATGAACCAGTTCCACTTCTTGAAGTCAAGGAGACTGAGTCCACCTGCAGCATAGAGGCAGCGTGAGCACAACTGCATCATTTACATTATTATACATTTATATTATTGTACTATATATAATATATGTCTATATATACACATATATACACACACATATATAGTTAAACATCTGTATTAATATACATCTTTATTATACATTAAATATTATTACTATATCCCCAAAATAAATTAATATATTCTCTAGTAATAACTATAATTCTGTTCAGTAAAATCTATTGAGTGTGGTGATATATTATATATGACTTATTAGAGCTTCCCTGAGGACTCATAAAGCAAGATCAGCAACAAGCCATAGCAGCTGGGCACACACCTTTAATCCCAGAAGCCAGAATCTAGGAAGTAGTGGTACATGACTTTAATCCTAGGACTCAGAAGTAGATGGATCAATGTGAATTCAAGGTTACCCAGATATAATCAATATTGAATCAGTCTATAAGAGAATTATAGCTCACATCCTTTATCCCAGAACTCATTTGAGGTATATAAAACAATAGCAAGGTCTCAATATAGAGCATTCATTCTCCAGCCACATTGAAGATTCTCCAGACATGCTGAGGAGAGACAGCAGGATCAGCCCAAGCAGCCTCAGCTAGAGGTGAGAGCTAGTGGCCTGCTACTTTGCTCTTCTGTTCTTCAGCTTGAAGTTTGAACCCCAGTTTCAGTCTCTGGGTCTTTTATTTTTCATGTTACAATTGAGGATAAGTAACATCTCTGTAAGATATTTATCTCACCATATGTAAATTCACAAGTGGATAACATTTTCTCTCATGTACAGATAACCAAGGTAATGTAAATTTAAAGGCTAAAGTCTGTGTGTGCGGGTTCGTTTGTTTTGTCCAGACAAAGTTTCTTTGTGTAACCCTGCCTGTCCTGGGCTTCTGTAAATTAGAATGGCTTCAAATTAAGAGATCCACCTGCCTCTGCTTGCCAAGTGCTGGCATTAAAGGCATGCTCCATCAGACACAACTGAGAGCTGAATTGCTTTATGCAGACAAGTATTGAAGAAGCAAAACACCATGAGTCAGAATGGTCATAGACAGACTCAGATACAGAAGCAACTATAAGTAATTTCTGTAAACTAGGGTCAATTAGTAAATGTTTTCAAAAAGAATAGCACAAGGAAAGGTGAGATAATGAAATCAGAATAATTAACTAACAGCATAAAAATCATATGCCAGGAAAATAAGCCATATTATGCATAGTTCCAGAAAATACTTTTCCTTGACAAACTGTCTGAATAAAGTAGGGACAGGTGCACACCTTTAATCCCAGCACCTGGGAGGCAGAGGCAGGCAGATCTCTGTGAGTTTGAGGCCAGCCTGGTGACTTACAGAACAGGCTTCAAAGTAACAGAGAAATCCTGTAACATGAAAAATAAAAGACCCACAGACTGATACTGGGGTCCAAACTTCAAACTCAAGATCAGAAAAGTAAAACAGCCGGGCCACTAAATCTTACCTCTGCCTCCGGCTGAAAGGTGATCCTGGCTCCACCAAACCTCACACTACAACCCCACACTGCTATGCTCTAAACAACCTGGCTGGAGAATCCTGAGACGGACTCCTAAAGACCCTGCTCCTACCTTTTATACCTCTCTAGTGCTGGGATTAAATGTGTGAGCTCTGCTGCTCATTTAGACTGATTCAATCTCACTGAACACTAGGTGGCCTTGAACTCAGAGATCCATCTGCCTTTGTCTCCTGAGTCCTGGGATTACAAGTGTGTACCACCACTGCCTGATCTCTATAGCTTGAGGTGACTTGGCTTTCTGAATCCCCAGGCAAGCTTTAATAAATCTTAAATGATATATTACCACAATACCTTATCTTGAAAAACCAATAAAATAAAATGAAATAAAATGGTGGTAGGTTGGCCATTGGAACGTTGAAAAGTAAGAGCCACACAATCCCAGTTCGGATCAGGAAATTAAATCCATGAACAGACACTTTACCTTATCTTTGGATTCGTTTGGTGAACTGGAACCACGGGAGTTGGATCCACCAGGTGTCCTTCAGTGAAAAAACGTACAATATACAGGGATGAGTATGTTTCTCTAACACACTGTGGTGTGCAGGGCAGCTGTGGGTTAAATGTGTTTCTGCACTGATATGATTCCTCTTGCGGTTTAAATAAGCTTTCGGTTATCACATTCTACCCTCACTACTCCCAAATATTCAGGAAAACATCACTCACAGTTCTAGTTATCCACCTATTACAATCCAATTTACAATCACATTAGGTAATGTTTTCAAGATCAAACAGATACATTGTAGCTCCATCTAGTTTTCTGCAAATTTCAACATTTTTGTCTCTCTTAGCAGCTGAATAATACAACACTGTGTAAATATGCCATATTTTCATTATTCATGCATCAATTGGCAGGTATCTTGGATTAATCTAATTTTTGACTATTGTGAAGGGAGCAGCAGTGACCATGTGTAAGAAAGTATCTCTGTGATAAGATGTATGGTCCTTTGGGTATCAGACAGAAGTGATAAAGCTAGATCTGGTAGTAGATCTATTTCTAGCTTTTTGAGGCACCTCCACACTGCTTTCCATAGCAGTTTTACCAGTTTGCACTCATACCAGCAATGAATAGTGTGCCTCTTTCCCTATGTCCACACCAGTATCTGCTGTCATTTTTTCCTTTTTTAATTTAAATTAGAAACAAGCTTGTTTTACATGCCAATCCCAGTTCCCTCTCCCTCCCCTCCTCTCCTGCCCCTCACCAGTCCCCTATCCCATCCCCTTATGCTCCCCAGGGAGGGTGAGGCCTTCCATAGGAGATCTTCAAATTCTATCACACCATTTGGAGCAGAGCCTAGATCCTCCTGCGTGTGTCTAGGCTGAGAGAGTATCCTTCTATGTGGAGGAGGATCCCAAAGTCCTTTCGTGTACTAGGGATAAATACTGATCCACTACCAGAGGCCCCAAAGATTAACCAGACCTCCAACTGACATCCTCATTCAGGGGTTCCAGAACAGTCCTATGCTGGTTTCCCAGATATCAGTCTGGGGTCCATGAGCAACCCCTTGTTCAGGTCAGCTGTTTCTGTGGGTTTCTCCAGTCTGGTCTTGACCCCTTTGCTCATCACTCCTCTCTTTCTACAACTGTATTCCAGAGTTCATCTCTTATGTAAAGAGAAGACTTTTCCTTGCCAGCGGCTTGGTTTTTCACCCACCAGTCTCCTGGGCTCTGCTACGTTGTAGTCCCCAAATAACACACAAGACACTCTATTAATTATGAAGCTGTTGGCCTTGCTTGTTTCTTACTGGCTAGCTCTGACTTAAGTATTTATCCCATAATTGCTAATCTAAGTATTTCTCTTACCGGAGAAGTTTCTGGGCTTCTTATCCCTATGGCGGTTACATCTTGACTCCCTGTGTTTCTCCTACCTAGAGTCCTCCTTGACCCCTAGTCCCACGTATCTTGCTTCCCTATTGGCCAACAGTGCTTTATTGACATATACACAGGACTTCCCCAACACATCTCATTGTTTAGCTGTGGGTGTCTGCTTGTTTCCATCAACTACTGGATAAAGGCTCTAGGATGAAATATAAGGTACTTGTCAATCTCAATATCAGAGAAGGGCATTTATGATAGATTTTCGACTGTTGTTTAGAGTGTTAGTTGGGGTCAACCTTGTAGATCTCTGGACATTTTGCTAGTGCCAGATTTCTCTTTAAACCTATAATGGCTTCCTCTATTATGGTATCTGTTTTCTTACTCTTCTCTATTCTTCCCCGGACTCCATCTTCATACTTTCTCCTGTCCTCCTCTCCCCTCCTCTTCTCCCCTTCTCTTTCTTCTATCTCCCACTCCCCTACCCCCATGCTCCCAATTAGCTCAGGAGATCTTGCCCCTTTCCCAGATGTGGGATTGGTGAATATTTTTCCCATTCTGTTGGCTGCCATTTAGTCTTACTGACTGTTTCCTTTGCCCTACAAAAGCTTCTGTTTCAGGAGGTCCCATTTATTAATTGTTTATTTCAGTGTCTGTGCTACTGGAGTTATATTCAGGAAGTGGTCTCCTGTACCAATTTGTTCAAGGGTATCACCTACCTTCTCTTCTAAGAGATTCAGTGTGGCTGGATTTATGTTGAGGTCTTTGATCCATTTGGACTTAAGTTTTGTGCATGGCAATAGACATGGATATATCTGCAGTCTTCTACATGCCAGCATCCAGTTATGTCAGCACCATTTGTTTAAGATATTTTCATTTTCCATTGTTACTGGCTTTCTTGAGTTCAGCTCAGAACTTAACCGGGGGAGTCGGCCTCTTCTTCCATAAGCCACTGAATGAGGTTTCTGTTTCCCAGACTCTCTGACAATGGGACTGTAGGCTGGCACTCCCCAGATCTATGTCTAAAATCCATATATGAGAGAGTACATGCCATGTTTGTCTTTTGGTGACTGGGTTACGTCACTCAGGATGGTTTCTTCTAGTTTCATCCATTTGCCTGTGAATCTCAGGATTCCATTGTTTTTTTCTGCTGAATAGTACTCCATTGTGTAAATGTACCACATTTTCTCTATCCACTCTTTGGTTGAGGGACATCTAGGTTGCTTCCAAGTTCTGGCTATTACAAATAATGCTGCTATGAACATAGTGGAACAGACATCTTTGTTGTATGAATGGGCATCTTTTGGACATTTGCCTACGAGTGGAGTTGCTGGGTTTTGTGGTAGGTTTATTCCCATTTATCCGAGGAATCTCCATGCTTATTTCCAAAGTGGCTGAACCAGTTGGCACTGCCACCAGCAATGGAGGAGTGTCCCCCTTTCACCTCATCCTCTCCAGCATAAATTGTCATTAGTATTTTTGATTTTAGCCATTCTGACAGGAGTGAGATGGTATCTCACAGTTCTTTTGATTTGGATTTCCCGGGTGGCTAAGATTGTTGAACACTTTCTCAAGTGCCTTTCAGCCATTTTAGACTCCTCTATTGAAAATTCTCTATGTAGTTCTGCAGCCCACTTTTTAATTGGGTCCTTTGATGTTTTGGAGACTTGCTTCTTGAGTTCTTTGAAAATTTTGGAGATCAACCCTCTGTCAGATGTGGGATTAGTGAATATTTTTTCCCATTCTGTGGGCTACCTTTTTGTCTTGCCGACTGTGTCCTTTGCCTTACAGAAGCTTCTCAGTTTCAGGAGGTCCCATTTATTAATTGTTGATCTCACTGTCTGTGCTAGTGGTGTTATGTTCAGGAAGCTGTCTCCTGTACCAATTCGTTCAAGGGTACCACCCACTTTCTCTTCTAAGTGGTTCAGTGTGGCTGGATTTATGTTGAGGTCTTTGATCCATTTGAACTTAAGTTTTGTGCATGGCGATAAACATGGATCGATCTGCATTCTTCTACATGCCAGCCTCCAGTTATGCCAGCACCATTTGTTGAAGATGCTTTCTTTATTCCATTGTATATTTTTAGCTTCTTTGTCAAAGATCAGATGTTCATATGTGTGTGGGTTAATATCCGGGTTTTCAATTCGATTCCCTTGGTCTACCTGTCTATTTTTGTGCCAATACCAAGCTGTTTTCAGGACTATAGCTCTATAATAGAGCTTGAGGTCAGGGATGGTGATGCCTCCGGACGTTGCCTTGTTTAACCGGGTTGTTTTGGCTATCCTGAGTCTTTTGTTTTTCCATACAAATTGACTATTGATCTTTCAAGGTCTGTGAAGAATTGTGCTGGGATTTTAATGGGGATTGCATTGAATCTGTAGATTGCTTTTGGCAGGATTGCCATTTTTACTACATTGATCCTACCTATCCAAGAGCATGGGAGATCTTTAAATTTTCGGTGGGCTTCTTTAATTTCTTTCTATAAAGTTTCAAAGTTCTTGCAATACAGGTCTTTCACTTGTTTGGTTAGCATTACCCCAAGGTATTATATGTTGTTTGTGGCAATTGTAAAGGATGATGTTTCTCTGATTTCTTTTTCAGCCCTTTTATCATCTGTATATAGTAGGGCTACTGATTTTCTTGAGTTGATCTTGTAGCCTGCCACTTTGCTGAAGGTGTTAATCAGCTGTAAGTGTTCCCTGGTAGAGTTCTTTGGGTCATTGATGTAAACTATCATATAATCTGCAAACAGTGAAAGTTTGACCTCTTCCTTCCCAATTTGTATCCCCTTGATCCCCCTTTGTTGTCATATGGCAATGGCTAGAACTTCAGGTACCATGTTGAAAATGTATAGAGAGAGTGGACAGCCTTGTTTTGTTCCTGATTTTAGAGGAATTGCGTTGAGTTTCTGTCCATTTCGTTTGATGTTGGCTGTTGGTTTACTGTATATAGCTTTTATTATGTTTAAGTATGTCCCTGTTATCTCAGATCTCTCTAAGACCTTTATCATGAAGGGGTGTTGGATTTTGTCAAAGGCTTTTTCAGCATCTAGTGAGATGATCATGTAATTTTTGTTTTTCAGCTTGTTTATATGGTGGATTACGTTGATGGATTTTCATATGTTGAACCCTCCCTGCATCCCTGGGATGAAACCTACTTGATCGTGGTGAAAGATTGTTTTGATGTGTTCTTGGATCTGATTTGCCAGTATTTTATTGAGTATTTTTGCATCAATGTTCATGAGGGATATTGGTCTGAAGTTTTCTTTCTTATTTGTGTCTTTTTGTGGTTTGGGGATCAAGGTTATTGAAGCCTCATAGAAAGAGTTTGGCAAAGACCCTTCTGCTTCTATTGTGTGGAATACTTTGAGAAGAATTGGTATAAGCTGTTCTTTGAATTTCTCATAGAATTCTGCACTGAGACCATCTGGACCTGGACTTTATTTTGGTTGGGAGACTTGATGACTGCTTCTATTTCCATAGGGGTTATAGGTCTATTTAAATTGCTTATCTGTTCTTGATTTAGTTTTGGCAAGTGATAGCTATCCAGGAAGTCATTCATTTCCTTTAAATTTTTGAATTTTGTGGAGTACAGGTTTTCAAAGTATGACCTGATGATTCCCTGGATTTCCTCAG